CACATACACGACATTATGCTTAGTATTATAAGAAGAATATCAAATATACACACATCTGATTTTGACCCCGCTTTTAAAAGGGTTGACGATTCTTGATAACTTTCTATGGACTCGAAAATAATATTCTCAATTTACGTGATGTATATTAAGCAATGATTTGTAAAAAAACATTTTGATGACGACATCGTAATTTTAATAATATTATTAGTTTTTTATTTATTTTTAGCAGGGGTAGAATCCAATAATATGTGTTACAAACGGAATGACGAAATCATCTTTTTTTGATGTTGGGTATAAAAGCAACTTTATTGTATTTATTGCAACTTTTTTCTAAATAATAAATTATGTATAATAGGGTGGGTCGAAAATAGGCTTTTCTCTCGGGTCAATTACTAATAGTGAAAATATGTTGTATTTTAACTTCAAAATGAAGACTGTAAAATATTATTCAATTATTTTGAGGGTAAGAGCCCGCGCATCGCCGCCAAAGTTTGAAAATGCGTTTATATGGGGAAATGGCACTTTTTCGCATTTTTTGAAAAATGAGGTATTAAGTATTAATTTTTGCGCTATTTCAAAAACATAGAAAAACTAAAAACTAAGTTATTAAAATTTCTTTTGGTTCTGACGACACATAAAAGTAAATATAACAATTTTTTTTAGTTTTGAAAAAATTCACAAACAATTATAATGATTACATTTACAAGATCCATAATTATGTCAATACGAATTTTTGTTCAAATTAGATAGCGCTTCCTTGATTTAGTATGTGGTCAAAAAATGTCCATTATTTTAACAGCATTTCAAAAACTTTTTAAAATTTTGTTAAATGGATTTAAAAAAATTAAATTTTCTATACTGGATTTTATAAGGAATATATGTAAGAATTAAACATTACCCTTTTCCCGAAATCCTTCAATTTCACATCGCAGGTACGGCAAAACTATAAGAGATAATGAGCTCATTCTTTTTATATTTAATTCTTATATATGTATATCCGTTATAACATCCAGTATATAAAACTTTAATTTATTTAAATTCATTTAACCATTTTTTTAAATTTGAAAATGGAGTTTTTGTGATGCTGATAAAATAAAGGCCCTTATTGACCACAGACTAAACCAAGTAAGCGTTATCCACTTTGAACAAAAATTCGTATTTGCATATTTATGGATCTTGTGAAGGTAAACATCATATTTTTTGTACAATTTTTCAAAACTAAAAAAAAATCTTATATTTTTCTATGTTTTTGGAAATACAATTTTGTACACATTACGATTTTGCTATAAAATGGTGTAAAAATTAATACTTAATAACTCATTTTTTCAAAATACTCGAAAAACTACCTTTTTTCCCCCATATGAACACATTTACAAGTAAGAGCCTCTTACCCTCATAATAATTGAATAATATTTTACAGTCTTCCATTTGACGTTAAAATACAACATATTTTCACTATAAGAAGTTGATTTGAGAGAAAAGCCTATTTTCGACCCACGCTAAAAAAGGAACTGAATGAATTATTTTTCAGTGTTCATAAACTCAGTTTCCGGAACGTAATTCCTAAGAATCTTCCAATCAGTGTTAGTCAGGAATGTTATTTCCGGAATAACATTACTTCCAAGATACTTGGATCTAACTTCGACGAATGCCTGGCAGTGGCAAAGAAAGTGCTCCAGAGTTTCACTGTCCTTTCCACATGCTCTACATTCGTCTGAATCCGCACGTCCAATTTTGCATAGATGTGCTCGTAATCCTGTGTGTCCACTCAGAATACGTACCATCATACTAACTTCAGACTTGCTCATTTTGAGGAGATTTTTCGTCTTGCTCTCATCATGATCTTTGTGGTTCTACCCACTGTTTCATTATTCCAAGAGGCCTTATGGGATTCTCTCACCCATATTTTTATTTCAGCTTTTGTTGCGTCGTATGGTTTCGCGTTTGTCAGGTTAACTGCCTCGAGCTCCCTACCCTTTAAAGCTATTACATTCGCCCTTTCGTTACCGACTACTCCCGATGTGAACTTTACCTCTGGGAGAGTATTCAGTTAAAGCTTTCTTACAATCCAATACGGTCTTAGATTTAGTTCTATCGCCTAATATCGCCCTAATTGCCTTCTTGCTAGCGGTAAATATATTAAGCTTGTGTTATGATTTGGCAAACGGTATATTTCTGTTTCTGGGTCTTTAATATAGAACCCCAACCCCATTTTGTCCCCAATTAGAGCCATTGCTATAATGTTCCGCTTGACTAAGACATTCTATCAGAGATCAGCGTTTCAAAGTTTCCGACATATTCTGTGTCTGGTATACAATCAGGCACGTCCGATGAATGTGTATAACCTTCCAATGTGTCCAGTATACATTGATGACGTGTCCTATAACCGTTTTTGGCCAGTTCGCCTAAAGTAAAGAGCCGTTCGGCTGTAAGCGCCGCCTCATATCTTAAATATGTTTCAATGGGTGGAATATCTAGCAACGTTTCCAGAGCCTTGGTTGAAGTAGTACACATGGCACCACTTATACCCAAGCAGCATGTACGCTGAACTCCCTGTAGTAGTTTGATATTGCACTTTGTATTAGTGTGCACGTTATTGAAGGCGCCTTCGATGTCAATACATACCGCCAGTGTATATAGTTTATGTGAATTTCAAGCATGCAGTAAATATCTGAGACAGATGTACGGAAACCAGTCCCGCCTCCATCTGTAAGCGTGCCGGGAAAATGCCATCCGGCCCTGCAGCTTTATAGGGAGCGAAGCTCTTGATTGCCCCTTTAACCATATTAGATGTAATTACAATTTCCGTGTTAGCCTCCCCTTCCTCCAATATCGGTTCTTCTACGTTATTCGATATACCGGGTGGGAAATGAGAGACCATTAGGAGTTTCATTGTCTCCTCCATATCTTCCAGCCTCCTACCCGTATCATCGACCATAGATTCCGATTGGACATGAGTTTTGGATAGGAATTTTTTATCTTCGATACGTCATTTACGCTGTCTACCTGTTCACAGAAAAGTTTCCAGGAGTCTCGTTTGGCTTTACGAACAATTTTCTTATATTCACCAAGTTTACTACGATACTCATCCCAGCATATTGCGGTCTTTAGTTTGCGAAGAGTCTTAAAACTTCCGGATCTCCCCGGTTACCCAGGGTTTCTCCCGGGCAGATCATCGCTCTCGCAGAGGGCAGCTGTCCTCGAACGATTCAACCAAGGCACATGTGAGCATTTCTACTTTGGCGTCTATGTCTTCTTTATTTCGACATTGAAAAGTGTTCTGACATAAACGGTTCTTTAGTAAGGAACCGAACATTGTCCAATTAGTTTTAGACTTATTCCGAAACTTTATCGGCTTTGGTGGCGGCCGTAGTATTTAGAATCTTATGTACCGATGGTCAGAAAAGGAGTGCTCATCCGAAACTCTCCAATCCTGAATTTCATTTAGAAGCTCTTCTGAACATATAGTTATATCTAATACTTCTTCTCTGATTCTATTGTAGCTCTTAGTATTAAGGAAAGTAGTCTTTAGTATTAAGGAAATCCATAAGGGCTTGTCCCCTGCGATTGGTGTTTGTACTACCCCAAGCTACATGGTGGGAGTTGGCATCACAACCTATTACAATTTTCTTATTTTTCCTTTGTGCCTCTTCGACCAGTTTCATCAGCTGGTGGTAGTGTCGGAGAATCGAAAGGCAGGTAAACATATGCAAGGTGTATGTTATCACGACCTTGCTTCAGCACCGTTGCATCCGATGTGAATAATCCTGTTGAGAGGAGAAAACATAAGTTCTTGTGACATAAGATACATGTTCTCGGTCGAGACCCTGTATCAGATAAAAGTTGGAAATTTACTTGATTTAATCCAGAAACATCGTCCGAGGTTCCTGGATTAAAGCTATATGTATCTTACCTGTGTTAATTTTAGCTATCAGAGCGTTGGTAGCCGTCTCGCTCCGATGGAGGTTTGTTTGAATAACCTCAATCATTGTCATCCATTTAAACTGTCTTCCTGTGAGTTAGTGATCAATCAGCTCGTTGGATTTGACTCCTCCGGGTAACCTGAAGTGGCTATTGATGCAGTGGGTACCATTGATGGTACTGCGGTCAGGCATAGCATAGCAAGAGCAGTCTTTTTAATCGACACTTTCCCAATTTTGGACAGCACTGCTGTTCTGTCTTTGGGCGAGTGAGTGATTTCCTCCTCGCTTTGACCTCGGATTTGACTCCTCAAAATTACCAGTACTTGTTGGTATCTCTGAACCTATTGGACCGATTTTGCTGATGTTCAATACCACACTGTACCGGATAATAATGAATGTTTTGGGTGAATTTCGTGACTTTCCATTGCTTCGCTTTAACGTGAGCGTATTTCACACAGACATACAGACAGACGCACATAGCTAAATCGACTCAGAATTTCATAAGGATCAGGAATACATATATGTAGTTTTTTGGGTCTCAGATGAATATTTCTTGGTGTTACACATGGAATGAAAAAGTTATATATACCCTCTTGTTTGAATTTTTTTGGTACAAACAAAAATACCGTTTTATCCGAAGTTGTTATAGGTCTAGAAGTAATTAAAATGTCCTATTATATAACCAATTTCACACTTTTGGGCTACCAATCGGACAGTTTGACACTAATGAACAAAATAAGACCCATTCAACAATATCGATATTTCTTGGGCATCTCTAGTGTACATTATTTAATTCACAATCGGCCCTTGATTTTGATTATGAATAAGGCCTTAGGAGATCTCAAAAAATTAAACTAATATTCTAAAAACAACAGTTTATTTTATAAAAACTGGACTCGAAAAAGCGACGCTTAAGTACAATTTTGTTCCTTAGGGTGACATACAAAATTGGTCTTTCCTGGATATTCCGCACTACCTCATTTTTTTTATTAATTTTATAGTTGAAATTCGTGAAAAATGTTTCAAAGTGATTTGAATAGTTCTTTTTGTTTTATAAATCGTTGGAATTTTCCGCAGTCTGATGACTATCAAAATGATCATGAGCCAACTTCAGCAATTCTCGATTATTGCAAAAGAAAGGTAAGTGTCCTATATTAATTAACTTATATTAATGGTATATTGTTTAACAGTTAAATGTTGCATAATATGAATATTTTACATACGCATTTCTTATTAAGTAATTTCCTGTTTTTGTGAATTCTGAAAGTAGAAAACTTGTTCCAAATGAAAATTTTGAAAAAAGTCGAAACCTAAGAATACTTTTCTAAAAGATCGAGCTGCTCTGAATGCGAATCTGACATCACATTTTCTCCACCACATCTGGGGTTTTAGTGTACTGAAGTTTGAAAATGGCATTTTGGCCATTTTTGACAAATTTATAATAAAGGCTTAACATCTGACATATGTACATATCTTCTTTCTTCTTCGCGACATATTCACTATCGTATATGGGGAATTCCATGTCAAGTAACGCAACTCAAAAAATCGATTTTGACGAAATTTGCAGTAATGTTAGTACTATATAGTAAGCATCCCACTAAGTGACCACAAAGGAAATGGCCTAAGCTTTCTTTTGAGTAAAAAACAAGAAAGAGTGCTATCAAACCGTATGCCGTAAAATGAATGCTCTCTTATAAGCATCAGGGTAAAATTACTCTTCAAATTTACTGAAGAGGACATTATATGAGAGGTAGGGTGAATTATTGACCGTTTTCATAATTTTTTTCATAATTTTTTTCATAATTTTTTTACACCGATTTTGGTTCATATAAAACATGTTTACATCGAATGTCAGTTCCCGACACTTTCCGGTAGGAAGATTTACGTTTCTATAAAAGTTTCTTAGCTTTCGGCTTGTAAGAATCTTTCTTATGTAAAATTTAATTTCTACACTTGTAAGAATCTTTCTTATGTAAAATTTAATTTCTACACTCGTACTTGTAAGCCAGTAATGAGCGTTAAAGTATTTATCTAGAGAGGACCTTATGTGGGGGTAGGGTCAATTATGAACCGATTCACATAAAATTAGCTAGAGAGGATTTTGATCGTAAGAGACTTACTCATGTCAAATTTCATTGCTTTACTCGTATTTTTAAGAAAGAAATGAGCGTTAAGGTCGTTTTTTGAAGGGGACCTTATATAGGGGGTAGGGTCAATTATGGACCGATCTACATAAAACAGACAGATTTTGGCTCGCATGGAACTTATATGTGTCGAATTTCATTGCTATACTCGTATTTTTAAGCCCGTAATGAGCATTAAAGTTTTTGAAGGGGACCTTATATGGGGAGTAGGGTCAATTATGGATCGATCTGTATACATTTTGGTAGATAGATTTTGACTCGCATGAAACTTATTTGTGTCGAATTTCATCGCTATATTCTTATTTTTAAGCCAGTAATGAGTGTTATAGTGATTTTCCGAAGGGGAGCTTATATGGGGGGTAGGGTCAATTATGGACTGTTCCGTATAAAATTTAGTAGGGAGATTTTTGATCATATGAAACTTATTTATGTCGAATTTCATCGCTATACTCGTACTTCTAAGACAGATATGCCCGTTAAAGCAGTTTTTCGGTGGCACCTTGTATGGGGGCTATCCGAAAACGTGGACCGATATTGCCCATTTTCAATACCAAGTAAACCTTATATAGAGAATATTTGTGGAAAATTTCAACCCTCTAGCTAATTCCGTTCGGACTCTATCGTGCTTTCAACAGACAGACGGACGGACATGGCTAGATCATCTTAGAATTTAATAAGGTCCCAGAATATATATACTTTTATGGGTCTATGACCAATATTTCGATGTGTTACAAACGGAAAGACAAAATCAATATACCCCCTATCTTTTTTGATGGTAGGTATAAAAATACAACAAAAACGTCCATTAAGTCCATTAAACGTAAATTAAGTGCAACATATTGGAAAAAATTTTATTCTTGAGTTAAAAAATAATTTTTTAAAATTTAAAAAATAAAAATTGAAAGAATGAAGAAATAGCTGTCTGAACTCCTTTGGAGAATTTTTGCTACGACCAATAGGTGAAAAGTTACACTTTGAATAAAACCCTGTATGACCAAAAACTGCCGCTGATTCCGGCAGTTCTTGACCGATAGAGCCTACTCTCCCATAGTACTAACCTTGGTGCAAATTTCATCCAAATCGGAAGATATCGATTTTTAAAGTTGGTTCACTTTTTCTTTTCTTAAAAAATCACTCACCAAATTTTGCGACAGCAGGCCTGTTTTCCGAAGAAAAGTTTTCTCTGAAGACTGTTATATATCGTCAACTGAAACGCAAGTAGCCCTAACTTACCAAAAATTCAAAATCGATTTTATTGTTTATTCGAATGTATTGCATCAAAACAAATTTCACAGGGAAATATTTTTTTGGTGCATATTTTCCCATTTTATAGTGCATGTTATAAGCGCATATTCTTAATTTTTTAGTGCATGAAAATCCTTGCCTGGATTATAAGGATTTTTTTACATTATTCAAGTTGAAAGTCTAGCTCTGTTGATTGGTCTTAACAAAATGAGTTCCAGAAACCTTTTGCCCGCCTTTACCAAAATAACGATACCCTGTTCCCATGGAATCAGGGAACTAGCAGAAATTGTAGCTAATTTTATTTTCGTATCCAGTTTCTTATACCTAATAATTCGTACTTTCGGACAGTAATTCTAAAAATTGTATGTCCTTCAATGAAATAGTGATCCATAAAATAAAAAATACAAAAATGTATCCTATACTCTTAGAAATGTACTAGTTGACTTCACAGTTTCTCGCCATTCACGTGATGATATTTGCCCAGACGTCTGATTTCATGTTTGTCGATGATTGCTGGTGAGCGGAAGAAGGGGGACGGCATTGCCATCTTATCGCTTTTAGCGCTTTTTAAAACCCGCATGTTGCTTTTTTCCTATTAGCATTTTTTTAAAGGAGCTAAATCAGCAAATTTTACCTATTTTGTTTTTGAAGAAATTAAAAATCTTTTTAATAACTTAAAATTCTTTTAGTGGAACAGAAAAAAAATAGCGCTATAACAATTTATTACAAAAAGTTCCGGCAGTAGGTTAGTACTGGTGCACATTTCGTCAAAATCGATTTTGATATGAAATTCCCCATATAATAATATATTTATAAAATGTCATATTTTATTACCGAAATGAATAATTCTTTCAAAGAATACATATAAAATTAAATATACAGATAGACATTAGGGATATAAATATTTACATTGTTTGCAAATATGTATGTAAGTTGGCATAGCATAGTCCAATAAAGCAAACAAATACAAGAAACTATGGTATTATTTGTTCTCGGTTGTTAGAAAAAGTTCACGCACCAATCAATGGAAGAATAAGAAAGTAAAACAATAGAAAATTCGGTAATATTGAAACTTCATCTTAAGTTTTATCTAAATTTATTAAAAAAGTTAATGTATCAACTTTTGCACGTTTAAATTTAATTAATCTGGCAACACAAATAAATTAAAAAAAAAAAAACAATGAATTAGAGTACCGCTACTTGATTTACTTTTGAAAAAAGCATCAAAACAAATAGTTACCATATTTGCGTCAAATTGTAAATTTTTGGCAGATTTCATTTTCAAGTTAAAATTAAAACAAATATATATTTTATTAGAAAACCGTAGAATTGGACGTTGTCAGAAAAAAAATTAAATTATTAAATTTTGCAAGGAGTACAAGAATTGGGATGTTGACGATTGAAAATGGGTTATATAATCCGATGAAACGAAGATTAATCGCTTTCAGTCTGATGGCAAGGAATATTACTGGCACCACCCTTATGAAAGCTTAAAACTGTCAAAATTTTGTGTAGAAGAGAACGGATGGGATTGTCTAAACGCAATATGTAATGAAATCATTACACATTGAGAGAAAATACGAATGGAAAATTTTACAGTCGTATGGCTCTCATAATTTTTTAAATGATTAAAAAACAAATGATTTTATGTTAACACATACAAAAAAGTGCAACAGCTGATTCCATCTTTCTTTGTTATTGTTTTATACCAATCGTGTAAACACAAAAAATATAAATCATATGACTTATTTTCGTTTTTGTCATACGGATGGAATTTCATTTTACTTTATCATTAGACTTGTCGTACGTAAAGTGTGATCGTCTCAAGGTCCCTTAAGTGAAAGAAACGATGCATGTCTACAGTCAGAAGTTATATTCCAACAGGATGGGAATCCGAAGTATTGACTTTCAGCGGATAATTTTCAAATGATGTAATGGCCAGCGCAAAGCTCGGACCTCAATCAGAGTGAAAAGTGTTAAAAAAACGTCTTGCGCAATACGATAATGCACCAAGAAATCTTAATGAACTTTGGTCGAGAGTACAACCGGACCATTGATAATTTGGACGAAAGTGTGCCAAAACGAATAAAAAGTGTCATAAAAACCAAAGGTCTTTTAGCAATATATTAAAAGACCACAGATATCGGCAAGATCCGAATCTTCAATAATTCTATCAGACATAAAATCAACAAAATCCGTCCATAAATAACGGAGATATGAGCAAAAATCTGAGACAACCTCTGAAAATTTCATCGAAAATTTATATTTTTGGTGCATGCAGAGATAAGAATAATGAACAAACAAACAACAACACACATGATTATACGGTAAATTTTGTTCTTGAATTTGCTTGTTTATAAAAACAAAGCAGAACAAGAGCAACACGTTACGGATGAAACTGTGTGTTGTTATTGCATTGAAACATGAAATAAAGTATGTAGGTCCCGGAGAAAGTGCGAACATATAAAAACATAAAATGGGACATTTTGGCACTTTTTAGTTCTTTAAAAGATATTTTTGAATTTTCTATAATATTGAACCTAGAAATTTCTATAATATTGAACCATGGAATTAAGCATGTAGAGCCCGGATTAAGTGAAAACCTAAAAATGGACGTTTTTGGTACTTGTTTAAAATGTACTTTTTGAATATTCTATAATATTGATGCTAGAAACATGAAATTAAGCATGTAGAGGTCGGATTGAGAACTTATAAAATTGGACTTTTTGGCAGAGATGGGGGTAGAGCACT